ACATACGACAAAGCAGCAATTTTATTGATAATAAAAATTCAAATGATAACAATGATAGTAAGAACCGGGGGGAGGGTTGTGCAGTAAAGAGAGAGAGATGCGCTCGGGTCCGAGGGTGATACAGCAGGGATGGAAAGAAGGAAAAAGAAATGCTAGAATTAAGAAGATAGTACAATGATTGGTTCCTAAATTCACAGTTTCTATTCAGGTCACCCATAACGTGATATCATTATTTCTTTCTTCTGTCTGTGGTTGTACAAACCCACCGCGGACAATTGCGAACAAAGCGCCTCTATGTGTTCCATCATTACATAGTTCGTATTTATAGTTTTTCAGATACCGAAGCCGTGTGTTCCTTGCTAGGATCGGCTGGTTCGTTTGTGGTTGTCCCTATCCGCGCTTCCGGTTGTGCAGGTGTCATGACCACATCATTAGTGTCATCGCTTCGTGCGACCAAATGCAGATTGTCCAACGCCTCATACGCGTAGAATTTCACATCACGATCTGTGTCCTCGGCAAGATGTTTCAGGCATTGATGTACCCCCTCGTCCAGGTCTTTTTTGTTCAACTGTGAGCCCAGTTTGCTCAATGCTTGAGCGACCTACATAGAAAGGGAAGAGATGACAATTATGAGAAAAGAAAACCGCCCACAAATAGATGTGAGATTAAAAAAGTCATTGCTTTCTGACCATGACACGAATATAACACCTAGTCAAGTCAAGTCAGGTCAATGAATAGCTTTATACACCTCGAAGGGTGGATATTTAGCAACCACACAACCACAGTACGTCAACAATTTAAAAAATCGAAATGTAATACAGCAATTAGAAGAAATGAAACGCACAGTAACGTCAAAGAAACCACTTGTATACCAGGGTATTTATGATTGGTATAGTTTAGCATTTTGCGCACATTTTCTGCAACGAGTTCATGGTTCCTAAGAAATCTGGCGGGATACGGTACGTGCCTTTATAAGTTAATGACTGGAAAGGGCGGATGAATAAGAAAGGCACTGACTAAGAGCAGAATAAAGCAGATGAGAAATATCAGACAAAATCTTATTGGAGAATGTTTTACCGCACTTGAGGTGGTGTGTCACCAAATACGGTACCGGATGTTTCTGTGGTATGAGACTGCAAACCGACAGAAACTTGAGGGATCGGGAAATGAGTCTGAGATCCTTTTTAAAACGACCGGGGAAGATAACAGGGGACCCATAAAGGCAAATCGCAAGCAAAAACAAAACGCCTTATGAGATGATCTGGGATAGAAAGTAGTTTAGGACGTGAAACATAAAACGTGAGTCTCCTGACCTTCAGAAAAATGTCACTGATGAGATCAGAACAGTGAAGTCACGGTTGAAAACAACACCAAGGTATTTGACAGACGGTTATCAATCCATCTAGTCACTGACGGTAGATAAAGGCGGGCTGGCATTTGATAATTCATCATACTTTTGACTTTGCAAAAGGGGAAAAAAATACATCACCATAATTTTGGGGATTCATACGGAGGTTCCTTTGTTGAGACCACTCAACTATTTCTAACCTGTATTCTTGTAGGTTGATTTGATATGATGTATTGGGGTAGGGCAGTCTGAATATTATATCGTCTCCATATTTAACAAGAAGAGAATTGCTCACAGGCATAGAGGAAATATAAGCGAAAAATAGAGAAGGGGACAAAATAGCCCCTTGCAGGACGCCATGTGAAGAGAGCAGCAGTGAAGATGTACGATCTTTGTAGCTTGTGAACTGCTGACGGTTGGAGAAAAAGTTGACCAGGAGTTCAATCGTAGGAGGTTGAACTCCGCCCGAAGAGAGGGTATTTAGCAACATTTGTCTATCAATCGTGTTGAAGGCATCATTTTAGTCTCGAACACATGCATACAGCCTTGCTTTTCTTATATAGTGTGGTACAGTATATAATATATATGTAGCATATAGTATATCTAGCCATAGACTAGGAGACCTTTAGTCGAAGAACTGACATGACATAACTGACCAGGTCAACCAGTCAAAGTTGCCACACTCTGACCAGAGTCCCGGTTACAGCATTCTGGACCTTCTCCAACCACAACCTGCTTTGGGAATCACCTCACACTAAAGAAGCCTATCTGGTAACAAGTCCCGATGATCGAAATCGATGAGAGTTACTCGATTGGGTTAGCCCTCGACCAAGACCAAGCACTAAACCAAGTCGAAAGACGACAATTCGCATTCGGTTTGTCCACCGGGAATCACACAAAACCGTGTTCATACAGCGATGCCGAATCAGCGACAGTGTTT